GCGTCGAGCCGCGTCGCGTCGAGTCGCGTCGAGTCACGTCGAGTGACCACGGCCCTGCGAGCAGACAGGAAAGAGAAGAGGCCGGACGCAGTGGACCCCCCGGGTCCCCTGATTTGAAACAATATTACCCCCCAAGACATAAACAGAATTAATTTCTCCGTGCAACAGCTTACAGCTTACATAAATAAATGTAATCTCAAGAATGTATTCATGGATCGAATCAACTTTTAAGTCCCGTTACATGCGTCTATTCAGTGGAACCAGAGTAACTCTTGGAAGTACTACGTTGACTCGTGAAGCACGTATTCACAAAAAATTCCTGCCACGGATTGCCCCATAGTGACTTTTAGCTTTCGTGCCTTTTTCATATTATTGTGCTCGATTTTCTATGCCGTTTCTTACCATTTTTTCTGTTTGCTGTTTGCAATCAATATAGGTTTTATATTCCTCACTGGAATATATTATTTTCAAATGTAATTCTGGCTTTGTGACTATTTCTAGTTCGTTTGTTTTTCCAAACTATTGATTCCATTTTGTCATATTGGTAAACTAGTGAACAACGCGTTTTCGACACACTTTTTTAGGACCACGCCATTCCTCACGTAAATTTATGAAACTTAAAACTCAACCTTCATTACAGTGGTGAGTGAATCTTTTATCTCGAATCCATTCTTACGATCGGATGCTACAAAACAAGCTGGTGCTTCCCTTGTAGACATTATGAAGCCGAATATAAGTGCGAAGTGAAAGGCGAAGGTCAAACCTTACCAGCCGGAAGAGGCGACGGCGGCGGCGGAGGGTGGCGCAAGGGCCAAATTACTTGCACTGCCAGGAGTCCAACAGCTTCGTGCACCACACACGGACACGCGCGCGCAGTAGTCGTTTTAGGTCACGCTCTTCAGATCTTTTTGATATTCGAGCAAAATGTCGATTTCTTAAAGACACTTTTTGTAAGGCGTTGTTTTATCTCTCACGGGGGGAAAATGCTATCAGATGCTAGGTCTCATCGACAATTTTTAAAGCAAGATCTGATACCAAAAATAGTGTTAATGTTTGTATCACAGCATTATTTTTCTTGTCGCAAGTAATGTAATCTCGAATCCTTAATATATCAACTAATGTTCTCATATAGGACCAAATGATATTCCTGCACCCATTGACCAAACCCTCAAAGCGGCTAGCATAGTCGTCCCATAAGTAGCGGCGCAAATTACAGCGCCTTTTTCACTCGTATGCATATCTGTCGTGGATATCACGTTTTGTACCGTGTCACAGCACAATAAGCAGTAGATGTTTGCGTAGTCCTTAGTACATCGTATGGAAAGGCTTGGAAATTTACTGTACTTGTATTTTTTGTATGTATTATTTGTAAATTATTGTTATTATAGGACACTTATTTAAATAAAACGCGACCTCAAAGGTTGTGCTTCCTGATAATTGTTTATATTATTTATTGTCCCCTGTCTTGTAACAAACCAAACAGTTGAAATCCCAAGAAATCCGTGTATTTGCACTTCTTCAAAGACGAAGAATTTCCTTGTCATCGGTGGCGGCTCCTTGAGGTAGGTAGGTAATGACTACCCTGATTAATAGGTACTAGTTTAATACATTTTATAATAGTAAGAAAATAAATGGCTTTCACAATTTTAATACGGTGGCAGTATGGTTAATTTAAAAATGTATAAAGAACATTTGATTGTGGTGGCGCGAGCCTCCGCCATGAGGCGAGAGCCTGTTTGCGCCTCTCAGGGGAAGCACGCCCGGCCGCCGCCTCGCTTCGCACCTTATTCTGCGAAAAGGCTCTTTAGTGAGCGAAGCAGAAGCATGCTGTGTCCATACTTGGCGCATGCGCGTTCTGCTCAAGCCAGCGAATTCGCTTGCTGCCTACTGATAAGTTGAGGTTGCTGAGAGAAGAAAGCATCCGATGTTGTTGTGCTTCTCCGGTGCACTGAAAAATCAGATGTAGGGAGTAACCATGTAGATGGATATGATATTGTGACGTCATGGATACTCACAGCGACCACAGACACAGAGCTTCGTTATAAAAATTTTATTAACAAAAGAAAACAAAACAAATATATACACTATAATCTACTTACACCTTGCTTCTGAAGACCTACTATCCCCTGATCGCGGGAGCGATCCAATCCGATTGAAGATGGTTTTGATATGGCATTCGCCACTCCTACTTTTGAAGCGCGCACAAAGCCTAGCTTCGTGACCGGATGTCACGCTGGGACACAAAGTCCTTCTAGGCGCACCAATTGCTGGTTTGCCTCGATCGCAGGAGCGATCTTATCCGATTGAGAATCGGCTTGAATCGTGGCACTCAACCACTCTTCACCTCGGAGCACGCAGCACAGCATCGCTCCCCCGTGACCGCAGTCACCCAAGGACATAAAGTCCGCAGGCTTCGTCAACTAGTGACCCGAGCCTCGCGAGCTGCTCTCGCATATGCACCGTCGTGGCGCCAAGTTTTGTGCACACGCACGAGGTTCTCCCACTGTCTCCAGAATCCACCCACTGGCTCTGTACACTCTGTTATATAGGCGAGGCCCACGTGACCTACTACCGTTACGCCACCCCCTCGCTTGTATAACAGTGAAAAGTTTCTATAAGCCGGAAGACTCCCACAAGCCTTGTTCTCCGTTTCCGCGGTCTTCCCTTTACGGAAAAACCCTTCTTCCTGTGGCGAGGCTAATCCTCTACCACGCGTCCCCAAATAGATGCCATAAGGCACGCTGGCTAATACGTTACAATATGAATGATATCGTAGTTTATGGAGTGTACGAAAGTATTTGGAAATAAACTGTGGTTTATTTTGAATGGTATTACGACATACGAGGAGTATTAATGCAAATACCATGTTCATCAAATGTGATTTTTCAGACACGGCAAAAAACTGATTGTTGACAAGTTATCGCCTTTTCAAACAATGTAATATATT